CCTGCCTTGGAGGCCTTCGGCAATGCCAAGACCCTCCGCAATGACAACTCCTCCCGATTTGTGAGTGATGGGGGTGGGTTGTATGAGGAAGGGTCTGTGGGGCAGTTTGCGGGACAGCGTCTATGGTCTGGGATCTTCTGCATGGAGGCAGCCACCTCCACCTCCTGCCACTGCTTTCCCAGGGGAAGTTCATCCGGATCCATTTTGGGGCCACCGGGAAGTTGGCATCAGCTGACATTGAGACCTGTGAGTGGGTTGAGAGCCCAGTGAGAGGCTGCCTTGTAGTCCATTATCCATCCATAGACTTATCTATCCATGGATTTATTCATCCATCCCAGGACTCATCCATGTATGGACTCCTCCATCCACCCACAAACTTCATCCATCCACCCAGGAGCTCCATTCATCCACACATAGCTCCCTTTCTCCCTCCATCCAGTCGCCTCTTCATCTCCATCTCCTTACCCCACCACTGGCCTGACCCTCCATCTCCAATTCTTTGTCCCTCCACCTCCTTGTGTCTACCTCCCTCCCTCCTTGCCTGCCTTCACCCATGTCCATCCCTTCATCTGTCTTCATGGTTGATGGATCCATCATCTCATCCCATAATCCATCTGACCTTCCATTTTCCTTTCTTCTTCCCTCCATCTCCTCATCCCACCATCCATCTCTCCATATCTCAATCCATCTCACCCCAACCTCTATCCTCCTTCTCTCCATATCCACCTCAGACCTCCTGGAGAAGTCCCGTGTCATTTTCCAGCTGAAGGCTGAGAGGAACTACCACATCTTTTACCAGATCCTCTCCAACAAGAAGCCAGAGCTGTTGGGTGAGTAGGGTGCTTGGCCTTGAGTCTTCTACTTCCTCTCCTCCAATTCTGTGCTCCTTCCTGGGGCAATTGAGGATGATTTGGGGCTGTTTAGCCAGTGGAAATGCTCAGATTTTCTCTCTATCCTGGGCCCACGGAGCAGAGATGCTTCTCATCACGAACAACCCCTATGACTACAGTTATGTCTCCCAAGGAGAGGTGACTGTGGCCTCCATTGATGACTCTGAAGAGCTGTTGGCAACTGACGTAAGTGGTAGGGTGGGCAGGTGGACATGCCCATGATGAATTAAAGGTGAAGTGCCAGGTGGATGGTTGAGATAGTAGAAGACGGATGGGTAGAGGAGAGGAGGAACATAGGGATGAGAGGTGGAGAATAGGAAGGGTGAAAGATGGTGGGCTGGTGGAGTGGGATGATGTGGGGTGAGAGATAGAAGGTAGGGAGTGGAGGAGGTTGTGGATGGAGATAAAAAACAGGTGGGTGAGTACTTAGGTGGACAGATGTGTCCATGGGTGAATGAATCCTCAAACAGATGGATGAGCCCATGGTTGCATGAATGGAGTTAATGGTGAATGGATGAGACCATGGAGGGATGAGTCGATGTGGGGTGAGAGATAGAAGGTAGGGAGTGGAGGAGGTTGTGGATGGAGATAAAAAACAGGTGGGTGAGTACTTAGGTGGACAGATGTGTCCATGGGTGAATGAATCCTCAAACAGATGGATGAGCCCATGGTTGCATGAATGGAGTTAATGGTGAATGGATGAGACCATGGAGGGATGAGTCACATTTTTGCCCCACAGAGTGCCTTTGATGTCCTGGGATTCACTCCAGAGGAGAAGAACTCCATCTATAAACTGACAGGAGCCATCATGCACTTTGGCAACATGAAGTTCAAGCAGAAACAACGGGAAGAGCAGGCAGAACCAGATGGCACAGAAGGTTGGGTCTAACCAAGGTTGAGGTGGAAACTGGGGTGAACTCCATGATCCTTCCAGGTTCATATTTTCACTTCTTCATCCTCAGAGGCAGACAAGTCAGCTTACCTAATGGGGCTGAACTCAGCTGATCTTCTCAAGGGGTTGTGCCACCCTCGGGTCAAGGTGGGCAATGAGTATGTCACCAAGGGGCAGAATGTCCAGCAGGTGAGTAGGACATCCCCAAAATGTCCTCCTTTTGGTGTGATATAGTGTCATCTTCAGCAAGAAGAACACCAAGAGGCCCTCTCACTGGTGGGGCATCCTTCTTCCAGGTGATTTATGCTGTCGGAGCCTTGGCCAAAGCTGTGTATGAAAAGATGTTCAACTGGATGGTGACCAGGATCAACAATTCACTGGAGACCAAGCAGCCACGGCAGTACTTCATTGGTGTGCTGGACATTGCTGGCTTTGAAATCTTTGATGTAAGCCCTGGTTGACTATGTTGTGTTGATTACATTGGATGTAGAGTTAATCCTACTGGATAGTCAGATGACTTTGTTTTCATTTGTGTTGACCCTGTTGGGGCTCAGGTTGATCCAGCTGAACATAGTAGTTGTTCTGTTGACCCCACTGGCCATCTACTCTCTCCTTCCCCAGTTCAACAGCTTTGAGCAGCTCTGCATCAACTTCACCAATGAGAAGTTGCAGCAGTTTTTCAACCACCACATGTTCGTGCTGGAGCAGGAGGAATACAAGAAGGAGGGCATTGAGTGGGAGTTCATTGACTTTGGCATGGACCTCCAGGCCTGCATTGACCTCATTGAGAAGGTACCACCTCCCTCAGGGCCTCATGGGGGCTGAAGGGACTTTGGGGGAAGGGCCCTTTGAGTTGGAGCCTGCCAGGGGCCCCAGAGTTGGTTAACTAGGTTGTGCTTAATATCCTCCACCACCATTTTTCTTCCTAGCCCATGGGGATCATGTCCATCCTGGAGGAGGAGTGCATGTTTCCCAAAGCCTCAGACATGACCTTCAAGGCCAAGCTCTTTGATAATCACCTGGGCAAGTCAGCCAACTTTGGGAAGCCACGCAATGTCAAGGGGAAGCCAGAGGCCCATTTCTCTCTTGTCCACTATGCTGGCACAGTGGACTACAACATCATCGGGTGGCTGGAGAAGAACAAGGACCCTCTCAATGAGACAGTGGTGGGGCTCTACCAGAAATCTGCCTTGAAGCTCTTGGCCAACCTCTTCTCCAACTATGCTGGAGCAGATGCTGGTGGGTGAATGGATGGTGGGGTGATGGAGCAATGAGTTGATGGAGAAAACTGCTGTCCACTAGTCACCTTTCCTGTGTTACCCTATGCCTGTTCTCTCCAGGTGGTGATGGAGGGAAAGGGAAAGGAGCCAAGAAGAAAGGTTCCTCCTTTCAGACCGTCTCAGCACTGCATCGGGTGAGGGATCTACATAGTGGACCCCCTTTGGGGCAATGGGAGGATATCTCCTGGGTGGTGGATCACCCCTTCAGTCCCACAGACCCTCTCTTGCTCTCACATTAGTCAGCTTGTTCTCTCCTCTGTCCCTCAACAGGAGAACCTCAACAAACTGATGGCTAACCTCAAGACAACCCACCCTCACTTTGTCCGCTGTATCATCCCCAATGAGCGGAAGGAGCCAGGTGAGCAAAGGGTAGGGCTGAGGGCAGGGAAAATGGTGGTAGGTGTGGCTTATGGCTGACACCACCACCCCTCTGACCCACTGCCAGGTGTGATGGACAATCCCCTGGTAATGCATCAGCTGCGCTGCAACGGGGTGCTAGAGGGCATCCGCATCTGCCGCAAGGGCTTCCCCAATCGCATCCTCTATGGGGACTTCCGACAGCGGTAGGCACAGAGGAGAAAATGTGGGGATGGGGTGGACAACCTGAGTAGGGCTGACCTCAGGGTTTTCATGTCCTCTCTGGTCACCAGGTACCGCATCCTGAACCCTGCTGCCATCCCTGAGGGGCAGTTCATTGACAGTCGCAAGGGTGCTGAAAAGCTCCTGGGATCCATTGACATTGACCACAACCAGTACAAATTTGGACACACCAAGGTAAGGGCACATGGTGTCTCCATGGTCCTACCACACCTGGTCCATCTGCCTATCCACCCCCCCCCACCCCACCATCCATCACTTAATTTCCCCAGCAATCCATCTATCTGTCCACAAACCCTTCCCAACCGATTCACTCTCTCACTCACTTCCTTCCTCCTTCAGGTCTTCTTCAAGGCTGGGCTGTTGGGACTTCTGGAGGAGATGCGGGACGAGCGCCTCTCCCGCATCATCACCCGCATCCAGGCTCAGGCCCGAGGGCAGCTCATGCGCATCGAGTTCAAGAAGATCCTGGAGCGCCGGTGAGAGGGGAAGGGTGTTTCTCCTTGAGAAAGGACGTCTGGTGGGTCACCAGATTTGTGGTGTAGTGGCATCTGTGTCACCATTCTAGAGACTCACTGCTGGTGATCCAGTGGAACATCAGGGCCTTCATGGGGGTGAAGAATTGGCCTTGGATGAAGCTCTACTTCAAGATCAAACCCTTGTTGAAGAGTGCTGAGACAGAGAAGGAGATGCAGGTGGGAGGAGGTGATGAGACAGGCTGCTGGGGATCCAAAATGGGCAGGGTGGGGTTGATGGATGAAGGGGATTGGGTGTGGCTACTGATCTCCTGGTCTCTGCTTTAGAACATGAAGGAAGAGTTTGGGCGGCTGAAGGAGGCCCTGGAGAAGTCGGAGACCCGGCGCAAGGAGCTGGAGGAGAAGATGGTCTCCATGCTGCAGGAGAAGAATGACCTTCAGCTCCAAGTCCAGGCCGTAAGTGAGACTGCCCCAAAAAACTATGTCAGGGGGGTGACCAGCAGCCCTCCAGGGCCACCCTACTTCATCTACCACTCCAATACAGGAGCAGGACAACCTCAATGATGCTGAGGAGCGCTGTGACCAGCTGATCAAGAACAAGATCCAGCTGGAGGCCAAGGTGAAGGAGCTGACAGAGCGACTGGAGGATGAGGAAGAGATGAACGCAGAGCTGACAGCTAGGAAGAGGAAGCTGGAGGATGAGTGTTCGGAGCTGAAAAAGGATATTGATGATCTAGAGCTGACTCTGGCCAAGGTGGAGAAGGAGAAACATGCCACTGAGAACAAGGTGAGGGTGGAAAGAGGCCTTGACCTTAAATTGTGGGGATTTGTGTCAACACAACCTGGAGGAGATCCAAGGCTAGTTGATCTGGGCTACATGAACATCCTTTGGGTTCTCTACCACTGCAGTGGCCTCACTGGCCAAGGACAACAGCAGCATCACTCAGCTTTGCCCTACCTCTGGTACTAAGCTGGAGGCCTAGTGTTTCTCCTCTTTCAGGTCAAGAACCTCACAGAGGAGATGGCTGGGTTGGATGAAACCATTGCAAAGTTAACGAAGGAAAAGAAGGCCCTGCAAGAATCTCACCAGCAGACGCTGGATGACCTGCAGGCAGAGGAAGACAAGGTCAACACCCTGACAAAGGCCAAACTCAAGATGGAACAGCAAGTGGATGACGTGAGTGTGGTCTGGTCCTACCATGAGTAGTGCTAAGGAGCTTTCTAGGGCAGGTATGATGGAAAACTGAGGTTTCACGTTTCCACACAGCTTGAAGGCTCCCTGGAACAGGAAAAGAAAGTCCGGATGGACCTGGAACGGGCCAAAAGGAAGCTGGAAGGTGACTTAAAGCTGACCCAGGAGAACATCATGGACCTGGAGAACGACAAGCAGCAGCTGGAGGAGAAGCTCAAGAAGTAAAGACGGACCTCTTTCCCTGGTCTAAACTGGGGGCAAGGGCAGGGACCTCACTGCTAACTGCTTTCACTTGCAGGAAAGAATTTGAGATCAACCAGCAGAACAGCAAGGTTGAGGATGAGCAGGCTCTGGCTCTGCAGCTCCAGAAGAAGCTGAAAGAGCTGCAGGTGAGGAATCTATTCTCTGCTTATTTGGACGAGACTAAGAGCCTCCAGTTGGTTGGGTTGAGGTGAAAAGTCTCCATCTGGTTAGGCTGAGTTTAGGAGTTTTCAGTTGGCTGACAAATGTTCAGATGTCTGGCATGAGCTGAAGTGTTTTCAGCTATTGGGGTGAGTTGGGTTGAAAAGTCTCCAGCTCAATCAGTTGAGTTGAGTGCAGGAGTTGGGTAGAGCCAAGTTTGCTGACAGCAGCTCCATCCCTGGACCACAGGCACGGATTGAGGAGCTGGAGGAGGAGTTGGAATCACAGAAAGAGGCCAGGTCCCTCAGCACTGAGCTCTTCAAGCTGAAGAATGCATATGAGGAGTCGCTTGAGCACCTGGAGACCTTCAAAAGGGAGAACAAGAATCTCCAAGGTGAGACGGTGGTACTCCTCCTGCCCACCTTGCTCTCTATCACATTCCACCAAGTCTGATAAGATCTTATCTGAGCAGAGGAGATCTCGGACCTGACGGAGCAGC